TATATATATATATATATATATATATATATATATATATATAATTAAGTCATTTTACCCCTGAAATCATTATTTTTATAATTACAGTATTCCCTCAATACTTCTCGATTCGACTTTCGCGGACTCACTCTTTCGCAGGTTTCAACATAAAGGCTCCCATATACTCGGGCATACTGTGTATACTCCGTGAGCCGCGCAGACACTGCACGCACTGTCTGCAGACGGTTGAGACTTCATACTCGAGTGTACTGTACACACTGATGGGCTGCAGCCCAGCGCTGCAGGCAAGGGACATTTACCTTCGGGACAAACTGAGTTCACCGATTGGTCATTTGCTGACACGCCTACTGGACTGACTAATAGGTCGCACAAAAATTAAATAAAAACGATAGCTGACAGCGGCCCTGGCTAGAGGCAGCTGGCAGCCCAGGTGCAGTGGCAGCGGTGTTCTGTGTTTATATGTTATTAATAAAAAGTTCTAAAAAAAACAAACAAACAGGGAGCGCTAGCCCTGCAGCCCACACATCAGACCAGCCTACCAGAAAATCTCCAGACCCTCCCACAACCACGCTGGACCTGATTTTAATTCTCTCATGATAAATTGCTTCATTCACTCACAATTTCAGTCCTGGCGACAATGGACGAGGGGGAAGAGATCACTTGCCTCTAGGCAAAAAAACAAAAAACAAAACAAAAGAAAAGGCCATTAAACCAGACAAGGGATGAAGAAGGGGAATTTAATACATTTGTGTCGCAAACAAAACAGTCTGTCGCCGGGCTGTTTATTGTGCGACACAGAGTACGCGTTCGCGGTAGTAAAAATTGATCTTTGCATGGACATAGCTTGCGGGCGTCCGCTTCGAGACCGTGTTGAGTCTAATCGGGTCCACGCAGACCTCTGCAGGGTGAAGTACGCCCAAGTATGTGGGAGCCTTAAGATTGTACACGACACACAACTGGCTGACTGATGGAAGGTGACCAACCAGAGCATTGTGTTGAGGGGCAAACTGGCCATCGGGAACACTGGGACATTTCCCGGTGGCGTGGCCCGCTCAGTGATTGCCGAGGGGTCCACCTCCTTTATTTTTCTGAGGTTGTGTGTCACAGCAAAGCAGAAAGACACAACAGGCAGACGCGCAACCTATTGTGTCTCTGCTCTGCTGTGACACAGTCTGAAAAAAGAAATGAGGGGCCGGGGTCTGTCTTTCTCCATCTCTGCTGTGGAAGCTTCTGTGAGGTGGATACCTGAGTGAGTGGCATGGATTGTTTATTTTAAATAATCAAGTGTGACCCAAACCAAGCCTTTAGTTCCCACTCGGGGATCACTGAGCAGGCCAGGCCACCAGGAAATGTCCCGGTGCTCCCGATGGCCAGTCTACCACCAGGCGCTGATTGGATCTGAAACTGTAGCATCAGTCTGTCTGTTCTCTTTTGCTGTGCTCTTTTATAGAGTTTAGAACATTGTTAAGAACATTGCAAGAATGTGGGAAGGATTTCTAAATCCTTAAAATATATATAAATACTAAAATAAATACAACGTCCCTACTTCGTGGATTTTCACATATCGCGGGGGTGTCTGGAATGTAACCCCCGTGATAAGTGAGTGACTACTATATATACTGTTATAGGAATAAAATATATGATGTTAACGATTACAGTTTTAACCTATTTAACTTAGATGTTATGGAAAATGATGTTTTAGAGGGGAGTTTTAATTCCTCCCTTCTTTTTACCAATTCTTTTTTTTTTCCATTTTCTCTCTCAGGAGCAGGAATGTCCTCATTATTTTTTAATGCCTAAAGGTTCGGGCTGTCTGCTACTAAAGTTGTAGCATACTTAAAAACAAAAGGGTGTGACTTGCACAAGCAAATGAACTTTCTATAACAAAACAATAAACAATAAAATAATCCATCTATCCATCCATCCATTATCTTTACCCGCTTATTCCATTTTGGGTCACGGGGGTCGCTGGTGCCCATGTCCAGCAATCACTGTGCGAGGGGCGGGGTACACCCTGGATGGGTCGCAAGTCCATCAAAGGGCCACATAGAGACAAATGAGACAAACAACAATTCACTCTCTCACTCACACCTAGGGATAATTTAGAGTTACCAATCAGCCTAACGTGCATGTTTTTGGTCTGTGGGAGGAAACCGGAGTACCCGGAGAAAACCCATGCATGCACGGAGAGAACATGCAAACTCCACCCAGAAAGGCCCCTAGACCGGGGTTTGAACCAAGGACCTGCTCGCTGAGAGGCAGCAGCTCTACCAGTTGCGCCACCGTGCTGCCCAATAAAATAATATTTTTTGCAAATAAAATTAAGAAAGCAGAGAAAAAACCTTACAAATGTGCTGTTGCTCAGAAGGATCTCCGTCTCATTCAGGATGAAATTGAACTTGATGACGTCACCGTCTCTGTTCCTGTACACCATCTCCGAATCTGAAATAATGAAATAAAATTTAAAAAATTAACACCATACCATACAATACCAGTTTATTTATAGAGCACTTAAAACAGCAACAAGGCCAACCAAAGTGCTGTACAATAGAAACAAACAAGCACAGCAGACATGAAAACATAAAATAAAATATAGATACAAATATCAGTGGATAATAACTAAATGGCCAATAATGTAGACTACAGAAAGGATCAAAACAAATCACACCGTGTCAAAGGCAAGGGAACAAAAGTGAGTTTTCAGGCAAGACTTAAAGACTGTGAGTGTGGGAGCCTGCCTGACATGCAGTGGCAACTCATTCCACAGGCTTGGACCTGCAACAGAGAAAGCCCTGTCACCTCTGAGGTTGTTTTCACACCCGATAGTTCGGTAGACTCGGTTTGGTTGGGGACCAATATTCATAACATTTTGTTTACATTGGAGCTGTTGCGTTTGCATTCACCCTGCACTGCGCAGTCGAGCCAACCTGTTCGAACCAACCTGTTCCCCCACTCGCCTGTGGTGGCGCTGCACCAAGAACTACTGAAAGAAACGACACAAAAACCTCTGAAGAAGACACTTCTTCTTCTGGAAATAAAAACAGAGTGGCGTCAAATTTTAGCGGTTTAGGAGTTCTATTTTGTCATTTTTCAACAATGGATTCAGCAAGAGTGGAAGATGAGGCAGAAGACCATGGAGAATGTTGTTTTTCACACAAGGCAAGCTGACAGCTCCATATGAGGTAAGAGAAATGCGTGTTTGTTTGCCCTGCATTGTAGTCCACTTCCTGCTTGCGGAGCAGTGCACATTCTGCTTACATTCACACTGTACTTGAACCGGGCAGCACGGTGGCGCAACTGGTAGAGCTGCTGCCTCTCAGCGAGCAGGTCCTTGGTTCAAACCCCGGTCCAGGGGCCTTTCTGGGTGGAGTTTGCATGTTCTCTCCGTGCATGCGTGAGTTTTCCCCAGGTGCTCCGGTTTTCTCCCACAGACCAAAAACATGCATGTTAGGCTGATTGGTAACTCTAAATTGTCCCTAGGTGTGAGTGAGAGAGTGAACGGTTGTTTGTCTCGTTTGTCTCTATGTGGCCCTGTGATGGACTTGCGACCCATCCAGGGTGTACCCCGCCCCTCGCACAGTGATTGCTGGACATGGGCACCGGCGACCCCCGTGACTCAAAATGGAATAAGCAGGTAAAGATAATGGATGGATGTACTTGAACCGCGCTCGAGTTTTCTTCTACTGGACCGAGACCTAGGTTTTACCCCGGGCCAGAGTTCACCTTTTTGTTCTGTGACAGAGATCAATGGCGAGTTCACACCTCCCCAAACGAACCGGACTTCCTAGGCAAACAGGCTAGAGTTCGGGACAACAGAGCTGGTGTGAATGCACCCTGTGCTTAAGACAGTTTCCTGGAACTGAAAGAAGCATCTGGTCTTCTGACCTCAGAGAGCGCGGTGGGACATATGGCTGTAGAAGATCAGTGAGATAGGATGGGGCGGAACTGCTCAGTGATTTAAAAACATACATGAGTATTTTGAACTGGATCGGAAGGTGAATGGGAAGCCAGTGCAGGAAGGCCAGAACTGGTGTAATGTGATCTCTATGGCCTGTACCATTTAAAATCGGGCTGCAGAATTTTCAGTTGTAGACATGCAATGGAGGACTGACTGATTCCAAACAGAAGCACATTGCAGTAATTGAGCCTGGATGTTATGAACGCATGGATCTCCGTCTCAAGATTATTTTTGGACAGTAAGGGCTTCAGTTTAGACAGTCACCTCAGCTGAATAAAACAAGATTTAACAATCATGTTTACATGACTGTTAAGTTTCAAGGAAGGGTCCATTTTCACTCCCAGATTAGTGACTCTTTGTTTCTCTAAAGGGCTAGAGAGGAAAGGTCAATGCAGTGGTTCATGAACGTGCCATTGGGATGGAACAACATGACTTCAGACTTCTTCTCATTGAAACTCAAGAAGTTTAAAGCCATCCAGTCCCGGATGTCAGCCAGGCAGTCAAGAAGAAGTTGAATAGAGAGTGTACCTCTGTGCCTCGGGGGTAAGTAAATTTGACAGTCATCGGCATAGAAATAAAAGGGTATATTGTGTTTGCGGGAAATAGCACCTAGTGGCAGCAGGTATAAAGAAAAGAGAAGGGGACCGAGGATGGACTCCTGCGGTAGCCCCCATTGAAGCGCTGCTGATGCTGAACTAAAATCTTTGACGTTGACACAAAAGGATCTGATAATATGCAAACAGTGTGTGCGATTTAACCAAAGAAGCAGTAAAATAAGGTTCCACTGAACAAAAATTATGTAATGTTTATTTTCCAGCAACGATGATACCAAATTAGGACACAGTTTGATGCAAAACAACTTTCATCTTTAACATTTAGCCATTGACTATTTGGAGTCAAGTCTATTTGTCTGTTAGCAAAATATTTTATGAACCACTGGACAGATTATTTTGAAAATTTCAAGAAATAATCACTTGATGCACCCTGATAACTGACCAACTTCTGGAGCCAACCCAACTCAAGATGGCTGTGAGAGCCAACTAACCTTGAAAAATACAAAAATGTCTATAACTCAATAAACTTTACAGATATGGAGCTAAAATACGCCATGGTAGTAGCCGAGAGTCTCCCAAATACAAACTTTATGAGTTAACAAATTTAGTTCTTATTTATTAAGGGCGTTATCCCAAAGTTTCACAATAAAAACCACATAAAAGAAACCTGTAAAACACTGTTTGCAGCAATAACTAAGAAGAAATCTGTGGCATTCATTTTGAGAAGGTCTCAGAAGGTGTCATGTGATAACATATGTCTTTTTAATTTTATAAAAAGACAAAAAAAAACTAAAACAAACCCAGAACTATGCTCTGAACCGGTTGTTTGTCCTGAAAAAAAAAAAAAGAAGAGTCTAATCGAGCCAAGAGGTTGGAGTCAAAATGGGGATCCAACAAACCCAAAACATTTTTTTTCCACCATCGAATACAAAAAGCACGCAGTTTTAGCCTTTGTCAGTGTATGCTTGTTTGTATTTGTTAATAAAATATCTCACGAATCGCTGAACGGATTTCAATGAAACCTTCAAAAAGTAATCAACAGATGCAAATTTACCGTATTTTTGGCGTATAAGTCAGTTTTTTGCATAATTTGCATGCCCTGCGACTTATACACCAAAGCAACTTACTTATGGATTTTTTTTCCCATATTTATAAACCAATATGAGATATGATCGTTTTCATTCATTCTGACGTTTAAAATATTGAACACCACCATTTTCAGCCACTAGATGGCACTCGAGTAGTATGGCATGCCGTTGTGTCATTAATAGGTAAAAGTGGCTATTAATGACACAATCGGCTTGCCATAGACTGCCACCTTTTGTCCAGCTCCGGGATCATGCCTGGAGCAACCGTCAAATCAGCTACATTTTGCTGCGTCACCCCGGTAAAATGCAGCTAATTTGACCACAGAAGTGCATTTATTAAGTAAAAGTTCAACTTTGCTATAATGTCGAGCAAACAAACAAGTTTTTTTAAGTGTTAATCTTGTTCAGTTGTTGTTAAAAAGTCCTCCAGTGCACACTCCCGCGGCCGCCATTTGGCAGCCAATTGATTTTTGGCACAACACCAGCCCACATTTCCAGGTAGTCAGCGTTGACTCTTAACAAACATGACGCATCAGCGGTGACACATAATAGATGCGATATATATGGCAAAGCGACGTATTTATATAGGTTTTCCACTTTATTAGACATATTTGGACTGATGCGACTTATATGGCGGTGTGATGTGTACCACGGTCAACCCGATTCAAGATGGCCATCAAAACAAGGCATGCACATCAGCTGAAAAGGATTAAAACTCAGTCAGTTTCATAGCTATTGAGGTAAGCTTCAACGTGGTAGTAGCTGGGGGTCATCACCAACACAGACTATAAGCTCTAACATTAAGTTTTAACGAGTGAATCTGAAACCATATTTCCCACAGGAACCTTTGATGGATAAAAGAACCGTTGATTTTGAAAGTGCTGGACTCATTTTAATCAGCTGTCTGTCCTTTCAGACTCAAGATCTCATTTAAAGGGAATCTGTGGCTGACTGCAGCACAGGAAATCTCTCTGCTGCATGATGAGCTTAGGCTGGCCATGCACTAATACGCTCGTTTGAAAAGACGTTCATTCTGACAGTGGAGGACAAATCAAATACAAAAGCTTCTTGAATCAAGTTGACTCCGTAAGGTATTTAGATCTAGATGTATTTCCAGTGAATACGGTGTGATAGTTTCATTTACATCAAATGTCTGAGACAATTTTCTAACAGTCAGATAAATGGGCACACGGGCAATAACATTATTGTCCACTTTTCATGACAGGAAGTAATGAACGTTTTAGGGAACGTTGAGAATTTTTGGTAAATGTGTCAAATTTCATTCTGTCAGCAGCCATTGTAGAATATTAAACTAAAGCAACTTTTTCCAGTATTCTAACACACTATTTGTTTACACAACGCCAAGATGGAAAGACGTCAGCAATGACTTTACAGAAGAAACGGTTGCTGCCCATCATTCTGGGAAGGGTCAAAGGTCATTTTCAAACTATAATCTATCTTTAACTCTGTGTGATCTACCGGTGCTTTGCTTGTTTGTTTTTGCTGTACAGCACTTTGGTTGGCCTTGCTGTTGTTAAGTGCTTTATAAATAAAGTGGTATGGTATCATTCTACAGAGAAAGATTATTCACAAGTGGAGAACATTTAAGACGGTGGACAGTCTTTTAGGGATGGCAGCAAATTCTCCTTTGGTCAAAGGTCATGGCTTATTTGGAAGGGCTGCAGGAGAAAACCACTGTAATTTCTGCTGTACCCGTCGCACCGCCCTATAAATCACATCAGTCCAAATATGACTAATAAAGTGGAAAAAATCCATAAATATGTTGCTTCGCTGTATACGTCACATCTATTATGCGTCACCGCTGACATGTCGCGTTTGTTA